AAGACCTTTGCATGGAAATCACATCTGTCAGTGCCCGTGATGATCTTAAATGTCATTCCATGGCTGGCTTCTTTTTTGTGCCAGAGGAGACAGCTTGCAGGAAAACCATCCCAGGAAACTGTGTCTTCTGGATTAGCTACTTAAGCAAATTGTGTAACTGCCATTAAAACCAGAACGTAGCCAGCAGACATAATTTCACAAAAGAGGAGAGAAATCCACATTTGTAGAAAAGTCACAGCTGTTCAGTGCTACAGTTTGCACTTTTTGCATTAATTTTTTCCTTTCTTTATGAACAGTGGTGACAGTTACATTTCTAGTTAGCAGCTTCGGAACTTTTTAATACACCACTAAGTGTGGCACTAGCATGGGTTTGGTGTCTAGCAGGAAAACCAGCCTTGCTTCTTTTGGCTGGCATTTAGAACAGAACGCAGTCTCCCTGCCTGACTTACAGATGACATGATGTCGAGCAGGGCTGCTGCTCCCTGACCTACCCCACAACACGAGGGGCTTTTTCTTCTGTTTCAAGGCTTGTTCCCAGTGCCATGATGCTTGGAACCCTCCTCACAGTAGCAGGCCTGGACCTGGTGGTTCATTATGCTTGTGTCAGAGCTCATTTTACAGGGCTGGGTAGGCAGCACAGCCTCCTAGCCTGGGCATCTTGCTGTGGGATTGTTCTAGATCCAGAGCAAAGTCATCGTGTTCTTGCGGGAGTCCTCATGTTCCTAGTGTTGAGACTCAGAGGCTTGTCTGGAACATTATGGATTGTATGTGTGAAATTTAGGAGCGGCATTATTTGCAAAATTTGGAGTCTGGGCTCTCCAGCCAAACTGTCTATGGCCACATTTTAACCCCATGTGAGTGAGGTATGTGGTCCCCAGGGAGTCACTCAGCTTCTTTCAAAAGCGTTTCCTCAACTGTAAACTTGAGGCCACTTGCTTCGTCGTCACCGCAGAGGGTAGGTGTGGTAGAGGCTTTTGAGGGACCACTAAATGGCACACACTGTGCATGGAACAGATGGTGACTCTTCTGATGGGTTGAAAATGATGAGGAGGAGGAGGAGGATTTTTTTTCCTCCTGGCTGCTGGATCTAACATACCCATAATTTTTTAAAATGAATTTGCCCAGGGCAAAATTACAACATATGGGTAAGCTGTAGTGGTCAAAACACGTGTGGTCACAGCTTTGCAGAGCTCGACATGCACAGCTATTGATCACTGGAATTCACTTTTGTCTGGCAGGAAAACGTGTGTAAGTGCAGCTGGGTTAAATGCACAGCACTGGGCTCAACCTGCCATTCCTGGTTGAGGGAAGAGACCACTCTGTAGTGTCCACCCTGAGCTGTTAGTCTAGATGAAGAGGTGCTGGCTGCTCAGCTGTCTGTCCCCTGTGGATGTAGGTTGTGGTTTTTTAACTTAAACAACTGGACAAGGCAGATGCTCTTCACTATTTTGTAACTAGTGCTTATAACTGCATAAGTGGATATATGAACAGTCATAAAAAGTAGGAACTCTGCAAAGAATCCACTGCCCACTGCCACCACTGTCATCAATAGCATTAGTGAGGCAATATTTTCTTGGGTATAGATTTACAAAGACTTATAAAGATAACCTTGTTTTTGCTAATTTTATTTTTTTGAGATTATTACAATATTTCTTCCTTCCCTTTCCTCCCCCAAACTCCCTCATATGCCCATTTCCACTCTCCTTCAAATTCATGGGCCCTTACTTCACCTACTGTACTGTATGCTTATATGACCAGCTCAGGCCACATAATGTTACCTGTTACCTGTATGTGTGTTTTCAGGGATGACCATTCGATAACCTTGCTTTTTAAAAATTAACTAAATCTTAAAAATTTTAAATGATTTCTTAAGATGCTTATATTAATGTTGTCAGTATAATTATGAATGTTATATTAACATAAGGAGAGAGCAAGAGAGAGAGAGAGAGAGAGAGAGGTGATGGTGATGGTGATGGTGATGATGGTAATGGAATCTTAAACATGCTTGGCAAACACTCTCTCACTGAGTGGAATCTCAAAATGGTATTTTTATTATTTATATGGACTAAAAATGTTGATAATTTAACTTAGACTAGAAATGATTTACTTTTCTGTATAATATACTACAAGAAGGTACATGACTTTCCCACCCCCAGCAATCACAGTATGTGGATTAAAAGTGCCACACGGTCTCTGTTTGTGTATCTGTTTGATAAGTTTCATGGGCAGGACTCCTTTCAGAGCCAATACACTCGTGTGCCAATGGCAGCATAGTGGAGATGACACACAGTTGAAAAACAAGTAAATAGATATACTCTAATGAAAATGTATGACAACTTCTCTTGTTTTGATGGAAGACATTTCTTACTTTGGGCAGTGCACACGCGCACACACACACTTTCTCTCTTATGTATATAATATATATGACAACATATATATATATATATATATATAATAACTTGAGGTATTTAAAATATGTTGGTGAATTTTTCAGAAAATATTTTTCTGAAAAACATTTTATTAATGTTCTATTTAATGGTAATTGCATATTTGGACTATCTGCTTATTTGTCTCAATTTTCTGCTTGGCCTGACATAGTCACACATCTGGTAACTAATACTGGCACACTCTCTGGAGTCCTGGAATAACAAGGTTATGGAAAATACAGCACATCTCAATCTACTAGAGGGAAGATCAGCTACTTTGACTTACTGTGACTTGTATATGTGACCTTACAATCATTTGAAACTTAGAATTATCAGACTCATTTTTTTTCTGATCTAATTGGGCAAGCATGATTGAACTCTGAAGAGCTTTTTAACCATGGCTGTGGTAAATGGAAAATGAAGTGGAGAAATAGAAAAGTATAACTTAATTAAAAACAATAAAAGCAATTCAAATTAAAAAGTTAATAAAGAGTTCGTTTTTTAGGGATATAGCCTATGTTCAAGTCAATGGCTGACTGTTAGAGTCTACCCTCTGCAGGTTGAACATAAAGATTGGCAATGGTTGCCTGTCAGAGTCTGCTCTCCACAGGCCTCCATGTGAGGATCAGGTAGGTAGAAAGAGCTTTCTGGTGTGTAGGTGCTTATCATATTCTGATAAATGATTAGGGCAGAGGCTGTCTGCACATTGGAAATTACTTTCAAAGCACACGAAGACAGATGTGAAGAAATAATCTAAAACGTTAGAAGAAGGCAGCGATCAGCAAAGTAGGACTTGCACACCGCACCTGGCCTGTGCTCTTGCCTTTGTAAATGGCACGTTGTGGTAGAGACCCTCACACATGAAACTGATGCCAGTGGTTGCCTGTACACTAAAAAATGGTGAAGCTGTGCGAATTCCCAAATACTTGTTGCCTGGATCTTTATGGAGTTTGCCAACATTGGGACTAAGGAGAGGATTTTTGTTCATTGACTCTGTAAGGCAGTGTGTTAAAAAAGAGCTATGGCAAGTCACCCATCTCAGTCCTGTGTCCACATATGGAAGCACTTTGTACTGCAGATGCCCTATGCTGAGGCACACTGTGACCTCATTATGGGAACTAAGACAGTCTAGGAAGGTTGAGTGTGGAGCTCAGTAGTGGAATATTTCCCTAGATGTGGTCCTGAGCATGACAAACAAATACAATCAAGCATTCAAGCTAGAACTTATTATACTGTTAAATTTATCAGGGATTAAGTTTTATTACTACTCAAAAAAGTATTTTCTAGATTTTCAGTTTAATGGGCCTTGAAGAACATGCAAGTATTTACAAATGATATTCTCCCTCTCCTTTCAGCCTCTCTGACTTCTTTGCAATCAAGCATAACTCTATGTATTTATCTTACGTTTTATATCCGTTGAGTGCCCACACAGAGAGTAAACTCTGTGTTAGAAGATTGCTTACAGTAAATGAGCTGAATTCACCTTGACCATGAATATGGAAATGATGAACTGTGGAGTCAAACTTGGGGCATCTCCAGATGAACATGGGGTGGAGGGGTCAAAGTAATTGAGACAAATGCTCATGCAGGACAGACTCAGGGGCAGTGGGGTTCACAGGTCTCGCTCATCTGAACATCTGCAGCTCAAAGAAGGGCTTGACACACAACAAAAGCCCGTAACTGCTTGAAGGCTATCACAAAACAGTTTGCTAAGAAAAACATTTATATGTAACCCCTGATTATTATTGTACATGGATTACAATGAGAAGAAAAAGAGTTCAATCTTGATAAATAGTGTGAAAGTCTTTGGCTCTGCATGCACTGAACTTCTTGGGTAGTATTGTATTGTATAGTATAGTATTGAATTGTATTGTATTGTATTGCTCTGCGATTCGCTCAAATAATGCTAGGAGCACCACACAATGGATAAGAGTTAGACGTTCTCAAGTAAATTACATAATTAATTCTAGAGAATTATGAATATCATTGTATTTTCCTAAGAAAAAATTGTGTGTGTAGTAAGTTTGTCGTTAGTAGATTCTCCAGTCTGAGTTAACAACATATAGATGGAGACAACTCATACTATGATTAGATATGTTGATGCAATACAACAAACAATATGTATCATGAAAGTCCGGTACACTGAAATAACACTGAAGATATACTGTGGAGTCCTACAAATGAGAAAGCACCAAAATTTTGTCTTTTCCTTTCATGGGACGGCATCCTGATTCTGTTAATTTAATTTGAAGTCTGGTATAATAGAACATCTCTTTGCCCAAGCAGCCAGCTCCCAACATTTTGATTTCAAAATGAAAGGCACTCACTTAAGTATCTTTAGCAATCACTCATTCTGAGGACAGTGTAGAACATGATATTTCAGAATAATGAGTCAAAGAAAAGGGATGACACATCAGCCAGCTGCAGACATAGCTAGCCACACCACTGGAGTCTTTGCAGACATCTCAGAGTTAGATGCCAGAGAAATGTTAGTCACACATGCTCAATAAATGAAATGCTAGCACAATTTCACAACATATTAGTAACAAGTTAATATCACACTTAGAGACTTACTCAACATAGTAAGTGCCATATATGGGATCATCGATTTTTTCCCATCCATATGGAAGTTCTGAAAAATAAAAAGGTATTTCTTTCAGTAAATAAAGAATAGATACCACAACTTTCTAATAAAAACTAATATAAGTTAATTGTTCATAGATTAAAGAAATGAGTTCCAAGCAGAATAAAGCACATAAAACCACCAGAGTTTGCCCAAATTTCAGACACATTGTGGGAGCTATAAGTAGCCCTGACTTAAAAGCTGGCCATTAAAATCCAATTTCTCTTCCCTACAGATGTCCTGTGGGGTGCGCCTGTTTGTTCCTGCCAAGCAGTAGGCTAGCTCCTCCTCATCACGTTACCACAACCCAGTACAATCCAGAAGGCAAACCACTTTCCTCAGAGTGTGTGCCTCTCTTATTTATGTGTGCTCATCTTTCTTAGGATAGCAAATTGTTTGTGATGACTGCAACAACGATGTTACACATTCTCAAATGACAGAGACAGCCAGCACTGTGCCGTGCTATTCCCAACACACGTGTCAGAATTTGGACACTGCTGGATGCTTGCTGGATATAGTTTTTAAAAAAGTTTAAATTTTCCAGTGTACTTTTCTTGAGAACGTTTCTGACTCTCTAAGATCAATTTTAGTACAACCGCACTGAGAGTATCAATAACCTTATGATCCTTGCTATTGGCAAAAGCATGCCGTTTAAAACAAAGGCTCTACTGTCTAACACTAATTTCCATACACACTGAGGCTACATAAGGAAGTCTGACAAGTAGACAGAACATTTAATTTTCCTTTCTAAACATTAATTCTATATGTGTAACTTGAAAGCTAATTTACATATTTACATGCCTATAGAGTGTATTAAGAAACATTTAACAGTGTTTTTGTTGTAGCAACATATATTGCTAGGGACAAAGCAAAGTTATTGGTAAAAAAATTGAATTAGTGGCAATCCTGCCATACATAAATAACTCACTGTGAATACTTTATAATTTGGTGAATTATAAAGGAATTTCAAGTTCCCTTCTATGTTTATGAACTAGTTTTTAATTACAGTGAATGCTATTACACAGCTTGATATTTTACTTGACAAAGTATCAATGGTATGGACATTACTGTATGATACCACTTAAATATCACTAAATAGTAGTCTGGCCATGGCTTGTGTCTGTACAAGTTCACAGTCTTTCTTATTGACTATGGTGAACTTTCTATAATATGCACCATCTGTGCAGAACACACTACAAAGTAAACCTTTTATTATTTTTCTGTTGAATATATTATTAAAAATAAGTTCTTGGAGGAGATTTTTGGAATAAAGGATATGTGATGTTTTTCTTTATTTTAGTTTTTGAAATTAAAATAGTTCCATCATTTCTGTTGTCCCTTTTCCTCTTCCATCCCTCTCACAGACACCATTCATGCTCTCTCAAATTCATTGCCTCTGGCTCCCTTTTTTACAGTTGTTACATAGATAACAAATTGCTTAGTCCATGTAGTATTACTTGTACAACTCTTGCACCTGAGGCTCAGAAAATATTGCAGAAAACGGGGCAGAAAAATTGTAAGAGCCAGAAGACTAGGAAGTCTGCTATATTATTGTGTCCTTTAGAAATACCAGGGAAGCTACACTCATGAAGTCTCAACAACATGACTGCCTAAGCAAGACGTGAACAAGAGCGACACCATAGATATGCTAACATGGCAGGGAGAATCTCATGGGTCACCAACCCCAGAGAATGAGCTACAGGAAACTAAGGAATACTGAAAACAGGAGAAATAGTCTTCCCCAGGGCAGAGTCCTCAAAGTGGTTATCCAAAGCCAACTGACCAGTTCCTTCTTCCTTCCTTCCTTCCTTCCTTCCTTCCTTCCTTCCTTCCTTCCTTCCTTTCTTCCTTTCTTTCTTTCTTTCTTTGATAAGTGTTGCTAGCCTGCCATCTTCCCATTTACAGGAGCACAAATTTATAGTCTCATTGCGAACATATGAATGATGATTGTACCATTAAAGTAATTGTAGATTCATGATTTCTCACTCCAAACTCTTAGGGATATATAGATTTGAGAATTCAAACTTGTTCTGAGTTTAGAAAGCTGACATGATGTAGTTACTCTCTTATGTCTTAAGACATTTCAAGTAGATTTTAAAGTCAGGGCATGACAATTCTATAGCCAAATGTGATCCACATGAAAAAGGAATATATAACTTAACTGTACACTTGTTTTTCATCAACTATCCAAAGCTAATGGAGACTTCGGCTATGAAAAATTCTTCTTTGTTACTATGTGGCTTAACGCACATGTCTAACAAGGCAAGTGACAGCATGTAGAAGCGCTTCCGATCAAACTTTTACGTTGCTTTTCATCTCACAGACCACCCCTTCACGTACTCCTTACTTCAGACTCCTTTGCAGGCCACGGTTTTAACTGGTGCCTGTAGTACTAAACGACACTGATTCTCACTGTCAGGTTTACAATGGAAAAGGTCTTGGGGACAATTTACTATATATTTTCTCACTTGCCACCTTGAATTCTTCTCAGAATTTAGGAGGAATCTGTTTTGCTCTTCCTAAGATGTTGATTACCTTACTTGCTTCATATTTCCAAAGAAAATATTTAGGAATTAATGATAAAATAAAATTCTGCTATAAACACTTACACATTAAAATTATTTGTTAGTGATTTTCACTCATACTTTGGGAGGGAGTGTTACAGTATAATCAATTCTCTATTACAAAGACCCATCACTGTCTTCATTTTAAATATCCTCAGAGTTGACCAATATATAACAGCATATATGCAACAATAACAAATATATTCATTGTTTCACTTGTGAAGACAGTAGATAGATATAAAAATCCATAATCAATGTTTAAAAAGCAAGTGTATGTATATGCAAATGGATAAATGTGCTTGTATATGTGTGTGTATGCCACTGTACATACAGATAAATTTGTTTAATTTACCTAGATGAGATTTTTAGTTTGCAAAGAAAATTTAAATTTATTTTACCAATACATAAAAACAGAAAATTATGCCTATTTTAGTAGTGTTGTGATGTTTTAATGCCTGTACATTTTGTATAATGTTTCAGGTTATACAACTTCAAATATTTGTTAGTTATTATGGTGAAAATGTTCAAAATCTAGCTTCAAGAGGGCTGATCTCCAAAATATACAAAGAATTCAAGAAGCAAGTCTCCAAAACATCAAAAAATCCAGTTAAAATGTGGGGTACAGAACTAAACAGAGAATTCTCAATAGGAGAATCTAAAATGGCTGAAAAACACTTAAGAAAGTGCTCAACATCCTTAACCATCAGGGAAATGCAAATCAAAACAACTCTGAGATAACCATCTCACACTTGTTATAATGGCTAAAATAAAAAACACCAATGACTGTTTATACTGGAGAGGTTGTGGAGAAAGAGGAACACTCCTTCATTGCTGGTGGGAGTGCAAACTTGTACAGCCACTTTGGAAATCAGTATGGTGAGTTCTCAGGAAAATTGGAATCAGTCCAACTCAAGATCCAGCAATACCCAAAGAATGCACATTCATACGACAAAGATATATGTTCAACTGTGTTCATAGCAGCATTATTTGTAATAGCCAGAATCTGGAAGAAACCTAGATGCCCCTCAACTGAACAGTGGATAGAGAAAATGTGGTACATTTACACAATGGAGTGTTACTCAGTGGAAATAAAACAATGGAATCTTGAAATTTGCAGGCAAATGGATGGAACTAGTAGAAACAAACCAGCCTGAGTGAGCTAATCCAGTTACAGATAGACAAACATGGTATGTGCTCACTCATATATGGATACTAGACATAGAGCAAAGGATTACCAGCCTACAATCCACACCGCTAGAGAAGCTAGGTAACAAGGAGGACCGGAAGAGAGATGTACATGGTTCCCGCAGAGGAGGAAAGGGTGCAAGAGCTCCTGAACAAACTGGGAGGATGGGAGTGTGGGAAGGGATGTAGGAGAAAGAGGAGGGGAGAAAAGGGGAGGAGAGCATGAGGGATCGGGAAGGTCAAGTTGGGGGAAGAATAGAGAAGGAGAACAAGAAAATAGATTCCTTAATAGAGGGAGCCATTGTAGGTTTAAAGAGAAATCTGGCACTAGAAATGTCCAGAAATCCATTAAGAATCTAACCAATAGAGTAGGGACTACCTTAAATCTTCCCCTTTAACAAGATTGATGACTACCTTAAATCCCATCCTGGAGCCTTCATCCAGTAGCTGATGGAAGCAGAAGCAGAGATTCACAGCTAAGTCCTGAGCTGAACTCCCAGGATTCCAATTGTAGAGAGGGAGGAGTGATGAGCAAAGGGGTCAAGACCATGCTGGGAAAACCCACAGAGGCAGTTGACCTGAGCAAGTGGAAGTTCATGGACCCCAATCTGACAGCTAGGGAACCAGCATAGGACTGAACCAGGTCCCCTGATCATGGGTGTCAGTTAGGAGACCTGGGAGGTCTATGGGGCCCTTGGCAGTGGAACCAATATTTATTCCTAGTGCATGAATGTACTTTGGGAGCCCATTCTCCCTCCCACGGAGGAATACCCTCTCAGCCTAAATACACGGGGAGGGCCTAGGCTCTGCCCCAAATGATGTGACAGACTTTGATGATCCCCCATGGAAGGCCCCACTCTCCCTGAGGAGTGGATGGTGAGTTCGAAGGGGGGGACTGTTGGGGAGCATGGGAGGATGGAAGGGAGAGGGAACTGGGATTGATATGTAAAATAAAGTTGTTTCTAATTTAAATAAAAAAATACTGAGTAAAGGATTGTCAGCCATGGTCTCTCTACTGTGCAACAGCCCAGCAGAAATCTTAGGGTTTTTAAAAGGCAACATGGTCGTCTTTGAACTTTTGTTTTTGAAAAGGTGAGAATGATCTGAGCTAGGATGCTAATGAACAATCACACCATTCACAGGTGAAAATAAGCGAAATCAGTATTACAGACTAAGGAGCACACATCTAGATGATGGGAAGTTAAGAATTACCTTCCATAGTAAGAAACAAGTTATTTAAAGTTGAACTGGCTTTCAAAA